ATCATTAACATGAAGTCGCAAGCTAGAACTAAACACATGTTTAGTATACTGTAAATAACTGAGTTGAGTACATAACTCACTAAACTAGTCATATATTTTTTGAGTGTAACGGTTTAATCTTATGGTGTTGTATATTACGCAATAATTAATTTATTATATAATGACAAGTGTTACCCATTTTACTTCAATCAAAGTTAAAGCATTATTTAGTGCACAAATAAAAATCAATGTATTCCGATAAAGAATGAACAATTCCATTCAGATATTTGGAAAAAAGGGATGAACACAGTCAAGAAGCATGTAAGTTCACAATCTGATAAACCGATCGTGTTTTAGTTGTGTTTTTATTTGTTTTTCTAACAAAGACTCATTATATCATATCATCATTGAAAGAAGGAAGATATGGTTAATAGAGAAAAGGAAAGTATTTTAATTTTGTAAAATTCGAAATCATGTAATTAAACGTTTGTTGAATTACCTAATAAGAGAAATTTGACAAAATACTTTGATCAAGATTAATTTTATGCTATTTGTATAAAACCCTTCTGATAATGATCATGTGCTCACTAGTGACTGGCTCCATTTCCCGGAGTTCTAGTGAGAAGCAGCAACCAGTGGAGTTCAACCAGGTCTGTTGTGAGATAGTAACTTACTGATGACATTGGTGAATGGTTGCTCAATTTCGTGGATTGGTTGAAGTTAGACATTAACACCGTTGGATACCAACCGGCTCAGTGGTCTATCGGTTCAGGGCTCTGGCTCGAGACTGGTAGGTCCTGGGTTCGAATCTCGTGAGTGTGGGATCGTGGATGCGCATTGTTGTGGAGTCCCATAATATGACGAAACGGCCGTCTAGTGCTTCCAGGTTGTCGATGGTGGTCTAGCTTCAATTGACTCATGATCTCAACTCTATATTTGTATAAGAATCAAGTAATGAATCAAGTAATATCATGTAGCAACTCTAAAACCGAGTCAATGTTCAGTTACAATCCATTCCTGTATTAATAATCAAAATGAAGTGAGCGACTGGTTACTGGTTACAAAATTACAAGAGTATGAAAACATAAGACATGATATTAAACACTATAGATACTCAACAATTTTAACCCTGGTGTTCATTGTTATGTCTGATCGAAAACTCCTCTTATTGTATGTTCTAATTTATTCTCTATTTTCTTTTTCATTAAACAAATTAAACCATTTAGTTAAACCATTAGTTTAATGGTGAAATAATTTGGGATTGAGCTATATTGTTTGGGTTGCCGCCTGAAAGTCTGTTTGGTGTCTGGTTCACCTGAAAACCAGTGCAAGATTACCCTGGCCCATAAGGGTATATTATATAAAGGTGAAATAATTGCTAAGATAAAAGTATATTTTACATGGAAATCACTGTTATTATTAGATAAGTTGTATCGTCTAATTCTCCTTGTATCACCTTATCAAGTTTGATATGATTCAACAAGTTCAATTTATTTTAACTATTCTTAAAAGAAGGATGTGATGGAGATGGAATTCATTGAATCAGAATCATTTATAAAGATGGCGGAGATAAGTAATTGTTCTATTTATTCCTGATATTCAACATCTGGATCCAAAGTTTTGGCAATCTAATTAATTTATGAATGTGTGTTGACATTTAGATGAGATACTTTCTAAAAATTTTCTGATTTTACAAAAACAAACCTATTTTTCTAGTCACAGATTATTATCAGAAGTGGGTTTTGTGGAGATTTTTGAAATTTCATATAGTTGAAATCGTAAGTCAATTGAAGCTAGCTCACCATGGAAAACCTGAGAGCATCGGACGGCCGTTTCGTTCTATTGTGAGACTCCTCATCAGTGCGCATCCACGATTATTATTATCATTATTATTATTTATTCCAGTTTCTAAACTTCTCTGTTACTATGATGAATCTTATCTTTAAATAACTGAGAATGGCTAATGAAATTATGTTTCTGAAATGAATACAGTTACTATATTCACCATGATAATTGGTAAAGAGATTTGTGTTGCATGAAAAATGATCTTTCAAAATGTACTAATGTTAACTGTAGTACAATCGGAAATGAAGAAATGCTTAACATCTGTCTTTTTCAATTTCGAATTGTATATAAATATTGGTTAAGAGTCTTCAAATAGAATCAAAGGATGTTAGCACAAAGATTTGTGTGCAGTTTGTGTCGTAAAACACTTCTAAAATACTAAAGTTGATTGAATTTTGATTTGAGTGAAACTTATGAAATTCTCTATGGATTCTCGGGGTACATGTTGATGTTATATTGTGTACGAATAGTATGAATATCAATTACGAGAAAATACTGATCTTTACGTGTGACCTCAAAATTTCAAACACGTTGGTAGCAAATTGAACTTAGTAAATAAAAGGTCATCACTTAAAACAATGGGTACTACATTGGAGTGTCAATAATATAACTATCAACACTGGCATAAGTGTGTATCTAATATACTAGTCCCGAAAATAACGAGGCGAGCATCGTGGATTCCATTGATAACCTATAACTAAGTATACTGAAAGCTTGTAACTAAAATGAGAATTCAAATCACATTCTCTATACAGGCACACCCCAAATATAGACTAATCAGTTTCTGTTTTTAATATCAAAGACGCTAAAGTATAAATCTTCACAAAGAGTATAATGCACATATATTAACTGAAGCTCATAATCTAAGTTAACAAGGTCAATCTTCAATGTTTAAGGGAATGATGCTCTTCTAATTAAACAATATCTCTAAAATAAAACGACAACAATCAATTTATTCAGTGTACACGACATCTTATGAAAACCTGTTTCCTTTTCATTCTAGCCATTTAAACACGAATTTATGTCTACTGGTATAATTGATACTAATTAATAAGAAATAATGTCACTTAAATACCATCAATTGTAATTATCAATGTCAACTATTTAGTAATATACATATAAATCATACACGTATTACAGTATATTAGAGAACAGTAAATATAATATTCACTTGGTGTGATTTACGTGTATCTACCCATGCAGGTACATCCAGCTGACGAGTCTCAAATAGAACGAAATGCACGTCAAACTGGATTCCACTGGTAACCGCTATCCATCTTTGCCTAGTAAATTTAATGTGCGTTATTTATTTAATTAGTTAGTTAACTATTATTTCTACTATTTATACATGATTGATGATTTAACAAAAGTTGGTATATCTTTATTACTTTATTAAACAACTTTATTTGTCATCTGTACACCATTAGATTTTATTAAATTTCCGGATGAATTACTGTGTGTTTTTGGTACATTTCAGGGTCAACAATTCAAGTAATATACATGATTATATTTTTGTCAGTAGTATTATTACTTTATGAGACAATCATATTGTCTTTAAAAAGAAACAAATACAATCTTAGTAACCGTACAAAATAATTTGAAAAAATTGATTGAAACAAAAATAATCGAAGAAAGAGAACACATCGACAATCAAAGATGTTTTTTATAAAACATATCATTTATATATTTTCATAGTTGAAATCATGGGTCAATTGAAGCTAGACCACCATGGAAAACCTGGAAGTACTGGACAGCCGTTTCGTCCTATTATGGGACTCCACAACAATGCGCATCCACGATCCCACACTCACGAGATTCGAACCCAGGACCTACCAGTCTCGCGCGCGAGCAATTAACCGATAGACCACTGAGCTGGCCGGCATCCGACGGTGTTAATGTCTAACTTCAACCAATCCACGATTTTGAGCGACCGTTCACCAATTGTCTTCAGTGAGTTGATATCTATACAACAGACTCGGTAGAACCCCACTGGTCACTGCTTCCCACTAGAACTCAAGGAAATATCTCTTGAAGTCAGTCACTAGTGAGCATATGATTATAGATCAGAGGGGGTTTTGTGGAGAATTCAGTATTTTCATAGTTGAAATCATGGGTCAGTTGAAGCTATAATAATTGAAGCCATAATAGGACGAAACGGCCGTCTAGTGCTTCCAGGTTTTCCATGGTGGTCTAGCTTCAATTGACCCATGATTTCGACTATGAAAATACTAAATTCTCCACAAAATTCCCTCTGATCTATGATATCATTTATAGGATGAAAATTAATCTGAGGGATGGGAAAAGAGGAAATATACTGTCTGTATAGGAATAATGTAATCAAGTCTAAACTAGCATAAATAATTATCACGATGTTTAGGTCATCTTCATAGCTTTAGATATGGTATCATAGCTATCGACGGAAACCAATTTGTATCAGATAAAGATGACATTGATTACTACATGGTTATCAATGAATGTTTTAAGCATTTTTATTTTATTTATCATCCTTAAGAAGTGGAATAACTTCACCTGATTGACAGATTACATATTGCATTTCATGCAAATAATAAATAAACTGGTGCTATTTCTAACTTCGAAACCTGACAAATTTGAAAAAAACTCGTTTTCAGTTAATTAGAACGTTAAAAATGTACATCGTGGATATTTCTCTCCTTGGCTGTTAACCACTGTTGTTTGGAAGTATGCTTTATTGTTGAAAAGATGGAGTTGATCGGCTAGAAATCGGCTAGAATTGGATTCCCAATTAGTTGAATAGTTATCACAAAAGTGTATTCAGTATTTAAAGTGTACACATTTTAAAATGTCTCATACTAGTATTACCTATAGCTGGAACCAAGTATATTGACTGAAGTTTAGAGTTTCTAGTGAATTGCTCCCAATTATCAGGCAAAAGGGATCATAATAACCTCAATAGCAACACTAAAAACCTGACAGTGAAAATGCTTGATGAGTTCTATGGACTGAATGACACAACACTGGTTATTAAAGCTGATCAACTTGTGTAGATATGCATTAAGAATAATAACATGTTAATATTTGTTAGTAATATATCAAATAAAACTTAAGATTCAGTGGTATAATACATAATATGTATATTTATACTACTTAATACCACCGGAGATACTACTCACAATAAACATCAGTTATTGACTTACTTCAGGTAAATATTTTGTCTATAATTATCATTTGCAGATCTGAACAAAAAGTAGAATATGATCTCAAAAATTATGCTTGGCATAAAATAGTCTTTTTTAAAAAAAAATACTAAGAAGTAGTTTAATTGAGCGATAAACTGGGATTGGAAATGAGGATGTAATGAGAAGTCACTGCATATATATATATATATATATATATATATATATATACATACGCATCTCGTTTAGTGAAGGGAAATGTTTTATCTGAAAAAAGGAATTAATTTTACAAAAGTCTTGATCTTATTCATTCATACGTCCCTGTCAGAATTTTTTTGTTTCTATGTACGTCTATATATATATGTGTGTGTGAATATGGATAATTATAGAACTTATAATGTAATATAATACCACACCTGTCTATCGGTCTTTACTTATGTTTGCTTTATGTATGATTTCCTATATTTATGTATCCTACCATAGACATAGGATATCAACTCATCTTAAGATATGATAATTTTTGATGTGCGTAGGTGAAAATTATCTTCAGTGTATGTTTATATATATATCGTGTGGTAGAAAATTTTTTTTTCTTATTTTCTGTCTCCTGGATAAAACGCTCATCCCCTGTCTGAAAGTTTAATCCTCAATGTGAGCCCTCATATAAATATGCCTCCCGTTATTATGTAAATGCATATATATGTGTGTACCTGGTAACCTGTAATTCATCCTTTCATAGATATACAAAATTTTTAATAATGTTCTTTTATATTCAAACATAAGCATGAATGTACATACACGTCGGAGTGTTTTGTATCACCTAACTTCAGATATTTGTTTGTATGTTAAAGTGAATGTGAATAGATTTGGTAAAAATAAGGAAATAGGGTTAGTAGGTAAATTTTTTAAAATATTTCTCTCTCTTCTATATAATTAGTATACATATATGTCCGTCATTATAATTAATCTTATATCTAGATAGACGTACCATACTAATGTTATCTTACTCCGCACAAATAAACTATATTTGAACTTGAAAACCTGAAATTTTAAACTTTCAATTATCCATTAAAAGTAAGCGAATCATCATCATCATCATCATCATCATCATCATCATCATCATCATCATCATCATCATCATCATCATCATCATCATCATCATCATCATCATCATCATCATCATCATCATCATCATCATCATCATCATCATCATCATCATCATCATCATCATCATCATCATCATCATCATCATCATCATCATCATCATCATCATCATCATCATCATCATCATCATCATCATCATCATCATCATCATCATCATCATCATCATCATCATCATCATCATCATCATCATCATCATCATCATCATCATCATCATCATCATCATCATCATCATCTGGTGAACTACTGAAAACCAGCCAACACTGAACAGGGCTTTCTTCTAACATTGGACAGCTTATCATTGTACATCTTTAGCCATAAACCAGAAAGAATCAAGAACATCCAGTTCTTTTGGCTTACATATTTCCGAAATTACTGAAAATAATAGTCCACGTTTTCCAACTCCATTGAAATCACGATAATTGTGCACCAAATGTAGTCATTTACGTACACTTAACACCTTCTAGATTTTCAGTTGTTATCCAGCTGATATTACTTGGTGACAGGAAATAGACTGCATATGAATAGACGGTGTTTAAATATAGACATAAAAATGAATAATATTTGATAATAAGCAATAATAATTGGTTATAAATTCATTTAGTATTGTTTGTTTGAATCTTCCCATTGATGTGTTAGGACTACAACTGGTTAGTCTGTTATTGGTATATGTGCATACTGTGCGTATTGCCTCGATATAGCCTTAATTCACAAGCATGGTAAACAGAGATGGATAGTGGCTAGCAGTGGAATCAAGGACGCGCACCACTTCGTCCTATTTGGGACTCGTCAGCTGGATGTACCTGCACCTCAGAGTTAATGTTCACTCCGGGACTCGAACCCAATACCCTCGTTTCATATATCTGTAATTCATTACCGTTATCGTTATAACGACTGACAATTATCAATAAAACTTTATATCTTATCTATGACAGTAGAATTGAACTTACAGTTTTAGGGTAGCTAATTTATGTAAAAAGTTGATCAGGACTAAATTTAACACTCAGATTATTGATATTTCCTTGACATGAAATTCTATGAAATACGAACAGGAAACAAAAACTTACCCATCGAAAATTTTTCGTTTTTGATTTTTTTTTATTCAGGTTGTTGAGAAACCTTTCACAATCAAGTTGGGAAGCCCATAACTATTTGTTAATATATCAAAAATTATTGCTCATAGTAATAAGGTGTAACTATGTTATCGTGACGAATTAATCAGAATCGAGAAAAACATCAGGAAAAACTCTTTTTGTGCATCATAGGGTGAAAATGGTAGAGTAACATGATTAATCACTTTTTGTTATACAGATTGTAAATGGAACTTAAATAAACTAGTTTATGTTTCGGTATGTTTTTCGTAATCCAACCTCAAATAGACAGTTTTATTAATGATTCCCTGAATAATAAGGTAGATAGTGACAAAAAAAATACTGAATTGGACCACAATTTCTCTGCTGACTGCTACATATTACCAACTCAGAGCTCTATTTCCCTAGCTCTTCAGTGAACTTATTAATTAGGATTTATAGGCAATCCAGAACTCTCCATAAAATTAGTTATTACGATGAATGAGATTCAGAAAGAAACTAGTTTGAACTCAAATAAATGAGAAATTGTAGGAATTTCTACAATAATGAGGTGAAGGAGGATTATACTAAGTGAAAAGACTAGTTTAGGAAAACTTGTCTAACATTAATCTTCATTTGGAATTTATCTGTTAATTACCCTTCATCCCTTACTTTGCAATCCAGCCTCTCATAACTGTTCCGTGGGATTGTGACGATGTTTTCAGGTAAACTGTACTGTCAAAGAAAATTCTACAATGTTTTCTAATGTATGCTAATGAATGCTTTCTTATAAGCACGGAATTTAATGTATAGTAGTAAATTCCACTCAATCGATTGTTCAGCAACGATTTGCTAGGTCTCTAGTTCATCGGTATATGATCGAACCTTAAGAAAGTTAGGTTGTTTATCTCGAAGTTGTGCATCTACTGAATTTATCATTAGGTTCAGTGACACTTTGTTGAAAGCTTTACCTAGCACTGATGAAGATGTGATCTCTCAGCATTTCTCACACTTCTCATATCTTTCATTGTGTATGCTGATGTGGTATCGTCCTTTCAAGTTGGTTAGTATTTATTCTTCCCCTAAAATTTTCCTAAATATGATGTATAGCGTCTTAGCATTATTCACCTACATCTAACTTTAGTTTCAACTGGCGAATACTGTCTGACCCAGTTGCCTTACTATTTCTCATTTGTTTGATAACCTTATTAATTCCTTCTATTGTTTACGGGGTAAAATCTATGCGGTGGTCTGAGTGTGGCGCTACGATGTTTGTTAGATTCAGTGGTGCCGATTTATTCGTGAGCTCTTCAAAATGATTTATCCATCTGTACTTCTGCTGTTGAACCTCAGTGATTGGTTTTGTTTGTTTGCCTCTAACTGATCACTTTTGTTAGCTGTATTTTCCTACGAGCTTCTTGGTTTTTTCATATGGTTCTTTCATTTCCCTTTTCTATTGTACTTGTCAGGTCATCCACATTTCCGTCAGTTCTAATGCTCTTATTCATTCGTTTGTTTGATTCTGTATGCTCAGCATGTGCTTTGCCTGTCTCTGCTCTCGTTTGGCTTTTGTTGACTGATGTCTTCTTGTTTATCTATTCATTTTTCCTCCTTAGGCTGTATGCAGTGATCCATTCTTTATTATGATGCGTCTTGGAGCCTAACATTTTCTAACATATTCAATCTATTACTTCCCTAGTCACTTTTGAGTTCTTCAACTTGGTTTGTTCTACTTCTATTACATCGTATAAGACTTGGAACTTGTTGATAGCTAAATACAAGTAGCTGAGTTTGCTAGAACCTCGATGAAAGGGTGTGTTAAATTTTTGTTATAATGCTGATTCAACTATCCAATACCACTTTCACTTCATTTTGTCTTGGTCACTACCGGGTGGTAACCTGAAGCTATATTAGCTACCTTCTTTTTTTCTTATGTGTTTGATGAATCACCGGAAGTTCTGTTTGTACATATATGATTAGTCTAGTTTTCCTAGTGTGGCATCAGTGTAAGCCTTGTGTGTGTGTAGAGTCATTTTGTCTTCGTGACCAGAACACAACATCTATTAGGAATTTGACTTTTTCTACCTTGTCTGTGTTAAATGGGTTCCACTTATTGGACTGATAGCTAGATTGTGTCTTCTTATTTTTGATGCTATTTGATGGACTCTGACGATCCCCCCACTTTGTCTGGACATACCAAATCCCCATGTTTGTTATGGCACTGGCTGTCAGAAGCGACGTCGCACCCGTTGCTTCCGAGGAATCTTGGCTCTCAGTACAAGGTGTAATAACACTTTCTTATATGACGACTATTTTACTCACAAGACAGAGATTAAATAATTTTTCCAAATTAGCATCGTTTTGGAGAGGTTTTTTTTAAGGGAAGCAGATGGTAATCTCACACCAACCCTTCCTTTTTTTGGACGAGTAGCGGTCGCCAGGGACAGTTCGTGGGCTCCAGAAGTAGTCTCCAGTATGTCGACAAGACGAAAAGATGAATGATAAACTCAGGATTTTCAAAGAAGAACTTTTCGATGATATGAATAAATTGCTAAGTTAATTTAAGCAATCTCTCTAAATCCCGTTTCTTAATAATCAAATTAAAGTGTTTAAAAGAGAAATACTCAGTTTTGTCACTAGGAATTAATCATATTAACTTTTACATTTGTATACAAATTTCATGGTTTTGTTTGTAATGAGTTTCATCCCTTAATATAATGGTTTACATTACATTGGTGAGTGCATTTGACTCGACATCTCTTGAACTGTTTCAATGTAACATATATGCTAGATCCCATCACTCAGACTAATGGTACTATTGCAAAGTAATCGATATAATTCGATCAATCGCTCAATTATAACATCTTTGGTTATGACTGTGAGTTCCATGAGTTCGCATAATTCAGAAAGCATTAGATTCCTCAATATCAAAGATACTGATACTTAAGTCTACCAATAAAATATACGTTCGAATAAGGTTTGGTTTTGACTAATTCCGACTACCTATTCGATCCTTGATTATTTTGTCTTGATGACCAAATAAGGGAATATATACATGAAAGAATTACACAGTGTTATACTATTAATTGGCTAGTTTTGCTGAAATATTCCTTGTTTGTTTGAATAGAGTATGAAAGATATTTAATATGGTATAATTATTGATTCCAGCGGAGGAAAAAATCAGGAGGAAGCGCTGGAAGTGGATAGGAAACACATTGAGGACAACACCCAACTGCGTCACAAGGCAAGCCCTCACATGGAATCCTGAAGGTCAAAGGAGAAGAGGAAGACCAAAGAACACATTACGCCGAGAAATAGAGACAGACATAAGAAGAATGAACAAGAACTGGATAGAACTAGAAGAGAAGGCCCAGGACACAGTGGGTTGGAGAAAGCTGGTCAGCGGCCTATGCTCCATTGGGAGTAACAGGCGTAAATAATATAATATAATGATAAATATTGATCGTATGTTTAACCAATAAACCTGAGAATAATTTCAATGAAATCTACATACAAATCAGATAACATTAACATAAAGGTAGGTAGTAATACAATGATTTATGGTATTGACTCAAATGTGTTTGGGTAGTGAGAACGGGTATATATATATATATATATATATATATATATATCCATTGACTATAGTCTGTTGATGATTTTTACATGACCATTTTCATCTTCTCTGAATATTTGGTCAATATGTCTTTTTCTTTTTTTGTCTCTTCTCAGATTTAGTAGATTTTTTTTCCGCAATTACTTCTCAAAATTCACCATGTGAACAAACCAATAAAAAAAATAATGAAAATATTGGTAGATAATAAAATTAATAATTTCTCGAAATGATTGATTATCAATAAATTAATTACCATGGTTTTAATCTAATGACAATATGGGAAATTACCTAATTAGTCCTTTTTTATATAGACATCAATAGAAAGCTATAAATATAGGTTATGATGTTTATTGTGTTACATGATAACAGGAAGGTATTTGTAAAGCTTATCAACAGTGTAACGCAGATTGATCTCAGTTAAACAGAGAACAACCCATCATTATAGACAATCGAATGATGGTAAATGATATAAATTTCGTAGTGCTTACAATGAAAATGTAGAAATGTAAGTTGTTTCACTGACAGAACGAACAAGTCAAACTAATATCATTCAGTTGTTATGACTGAATAACCTTATGGGCAAA